CCGCCGTGCTGCCCGTTGCAGCGATGGGGCGTGTTTGTCCCCCGTGGGGTGAGGGAGCAGGTCCCCACGCGAGTCCCTTGCCGGGAGGCGGCTTCTGGAGGGTCCCCGGTGTTTCGTGTTTGTTTTGTCCCGAAAAGAGCCGCAGCCCCCGGCCGGGCTGAGGCTGCTCCCGGCCCGGCGGCCCCGCAGCATCCCCCGGTCCCGGCGCCGGCCGCCTCTGCAGCCCCCTCTCCACCGCTGGGTCCCCCCTCGCTCCCGCTGCGGCGGGAGGGGGCGGCACAGCCCTCCCCAAGCCCCGGTGCCCCCTCGGAGGAATCTCCCCTCCCCCCCAGGACCCCGCTCCGGTGCCGCTCGTGTCCGGCCCTGCTCGTGTCCAGCCCCGCAGGCTGATTAGCCGGATTTCCCAGCCGGGATCCTAATCCCGCTGGCCGGTGCCTGCTTATCCCCACTGTGCCCGGGGACCCGGCTTAGCCCCAGCAGCGGGCAGAGCCGTCGCCTGCCTGCCCTCTTGCCCAAGGTCCGGCCGGGGGTGGCGGAGGTGTGAGGCCACGGGAGGCGAGAGGGTGGGCAAGTGAGTCTGCAGCTTTGGCCACCAACCCTGGGGTGGTGGAATGGGCAGCGTGGGTGGCCCTGGGGTGCCCTGAGCTCACGGTGGCCGGGGAGCAGCTCTGGAGCTCAGCTTTCCCCGGGCACGGGTGTTTGCCGGGCGGGAAGCTGCGAGTTCGGTCGTGCCACCGCTGCCTGCCGGGGCTCGGCATGAAGCCGGCCTGTGTGGCTGGAAGGGGAGGCTGATGCTTTGCTGCCGGGTCCTGGGGGCTGCCGACCCGCTGGCCCCTGTCCGGGGGCGGGTGAAGTCCCCGGAGCTGGCCAGGCGTGGGGGCTCGCTGGGACGGGGCTGGGGAAGGAACGGGGCCAGAGCTGCTGGGGCCCGAGCTCAGCTTGGGGGGCACCTGCGGGACCTGGGTGCCCGAGCTCACGCCTTGAGCCCCTTGCATCAGGGTAGTTTCCCCTCCTGGGGTGCTGAGGGTCTCACCAGCAACACCTGACCTCGCTGCTGGCCCGGCCATATCACTCACATGGGGAAACTGAAGCACGGGCAGGTCCCAGGCCTCCCCTGGGCTGCCCAGCTCTCCAGGGCTGCCCCTCGTGCTTGGCGTGTGAATCAGGTTCATTGCTTGTAATGCAGCGCTGACCTGGAGGGACTTTGCAGAGCTTGTGCCCTATTGTGCTGCTTTTGATTTAGAAAAGAATGAGATTTGAGAGCTTTGCTCCAGCAAGGAGCTTTGCTGTGGGAATGCCAGGCTGGCTCCTGCCAGCCCCCGGAGCTCAGTCGTGTGCCCAGCGCTTTGCCTGGTGTGCGATAAGCCCTGAGCCAGAGGGACACGAGAGCCCTGACTGTCACCCCCAGCTCAGCGCTGACCCTCCTGCTTTCGCCTGCAGCTGGAGCCGAGTGGGACACAGGGCACATGCCCCCTGCATCCCCGCCATGGCTGTGGGCACCCAGCTGGGGCTGCTGCTCTGGAAGAACTTCACCTACCGCCGGCGGCAGCGGGTGAGCGGGCAACCAGGGTGGGAGAGTGCCCGGAGCTGCTGGGTCCTGGCGCAGGGGCAGGCAGAGCCCTGGGTGCCGATGGGGACAGGGACCCCCCCCCAACCATGGGTGTCCCCCAGATCCAGCTGGCCATTGAGCTCCTGTGGCCCCTCTTCCTCTTCTTCATCTTGATCTCGGTGCGGCAATCCCACCCGCCCTTCAAGCAGCATGAGTGTGAGTGTCCCATGCCAGCCCCCACTGGGGCCACCCTCTGGGTTGGCAATGCCCCCCTCCCCGTGCCTGCTGGGGACATGGGAGCCCTGTGGGGTCCCAGGGTGGCAGCGGGGGAGACAAACATGGGAGGTGGACACAAGCTGGGGGCTCGCTGGCATCTCCCTGCTGGAGTGTGTGCGTGGCCTCGGGGGTCCTGTGTTGCCCCCCCCCCGGGACCTGTCTCTCCCTCTCCCACAGGCCACTTCCCCAACAAGGCCCTTCCCTCGGCCGGGACCCTGCCCTGGCTCCAGGGCATCATCTGCAACATGAACAACCCCTGCTTTCGGCACCCTACCGTGGGAGAGGCCCCCGGCGTGGTGGGCAACTTCGACGGCTCCATGTGAGTGACAGGGTTCCGGGGGCTGTGGGGCCGGACCAAACGGTGGGGCCGGGGTCTCACCACCCACCCTGTGCCCCCACAGCCTCTCCCGCCTGCTGGCCGAAGCCCGGCGGGTCCTGGTCCACACTGACGGGCACCGGCTCCTGCGCGGCTTCGCCCAACTCCTGCCCGCCCTGCGCCGGCTCGGGGGGAGTGGGACTCAGTGGAGGGGTGAGCACCAGGGATGGGGGGTGCAGGGGGAGCGAGACCCCCCTGGCTGAACCCTGCCCCCCCAGCCCTGCCGGTGAGGGACTACCTGAGAGAGGATGAGACCTTCTCGTGGTTCCTCTGGACCAACACGTCTCTGCCCCCGGAGCTGGTGGACGAGCTGATGGGGGCCCGGCTCAACCCCCGCATCGTGAGTGTCGGTGCAGCGCCCACTCCTGGTACCCGTGGTGCTGGGGGCTGCGGCATGACGGGCCCTCTCCCACCAGTTCTCCCTGGCGAGCACCCGCCTCCCGCTGAAGGCCGTGGTCTGCAACGCCTCGGAGCTGGGGGGCTTCCTGGCGGGGGGCGATGCCGCTTCCACCCAGCGCCTGCAGCGAGGGCTCTGCGACCTGCCTGGCCCCCAGCTCCGCGCCATGGAGGGCTCCTTTCTCTCCCAGCTCGACCTCCCCCGGCTCCTGGTGGTGAGCCCCCAGCCTGGCCAGACGCTGGGTGCTGGCAAGTGCCGGGCCAGAGACCCCCGGCTCCCGCCCCAGAGGGGCTGTGACCCCTCTTCCCATGCCCCCCCTTGTAGGAACAGCTGAGCTCAGAGGTGGGTGGCATTGCTGGCACCACGGAAGCCTTGGGCACCTTCCTGCGGGATGCAGCATCCCTGATGGAGGAGGTAGCACCCTGCTCCCTGCTCAAGTGCCCCCCACCCACCCCCTGCACTCGAGCAGTGCCCCGCTTCCCGCGGTGTCGTTGGGTGTCCCTGTCCCCTCTAGCCCCACTCCCCATCCCACTCTCCCCAGGTCTCCTCAATGACCAGCCTCGCCGAGCTGCGGCGGGAGCTCGGGGCACTGATGGCCCCCAATGCCAGCGCCGCCGGCTCAGGCGCCTTCGGGGCCCTGTCGCGCATCGCCTGTGGGCACCCCGAGGGCGGGGGGCTTAGGGTCCCCTCCCTCAATTGGTATGAGGACAACGACGTCAAAGCCTTCCTGGACCGCAACAGCTCGGAGCGGAGAGCCACGGCCCCGGACAGCGCCAGCAGTGAGCGGGCTGGGCTGCGGTAGCGGGGGGAGCTCAGCCAGGGGCTTGCTGGACACAGCCCCCCCAAGGCTGCCCGGGAGGCGGCGGGGGGCTTGTGGCAAGGGCTCGGCTCTGCCCCCCACCCAGGTCCCTTCTGCCGAGAGCTGGTCCGCAGCCTGGAGTCCAGCCCCCTTTCGCAGATCTTATGGCGGGGGATCAAGCCCCTCTTCATGGGGAAGATCCTGTACACGCCGCCTGGCCCCGGCCCCGACAGCATCATGGCCGAGGTGAGCGGGGGGCTGAGGGGGGCGCGGACGGGGGGGGTTACCCCAGCCCTGCCTCACCCCCTGCCCCACGCAGGTGAACCGGACCTTCCGGGAGCTGGCGGTGCTGGGGGAGGCAGGGGGTGCCTGGCGGGAGCTGGGACCCCGCATCTACACCTTCCTCAACGGCAGCCTGGAGATGCAGGTCCTCCGGGTGCGTGACCCCCAGACCCTCTCCCCGTTGGGAACAGGGCTGCGGTGGGGTGCGGGTTGGGGGGTGTGGTGGGGTGCAGCCGGGGCTCCTGGCCAGGAGGGGGGTGGGCTGCATCGTCCTGTGGTACCCTGGTGCTTTGCAGGATCTGCTGCTGGCCCCGGGGACGGCCCAGCTCCTGGACGGGTTCCTCAACGGCACCTCCTGGAAGCTGCCGGCGCTGGCGGGGTTCCTGGCGGGGCCGGCGGCAGGGCCGGGGCTCACCTGGCAGCAGGTGTACGCTGACGCCGACATGGTCCTGAGCACGCTGTCACAGTTCATGGAGGTGCGTGTCGCCCTGGCCGCCCGGGCGGGCTGGCTCCCTGAGCCCCACTGAGCCCTGCCTGCCCTGCCCGTAGTGTGTCTGCCTGGACAAGATCGAGGCAGTGGCCACCGAGGACCAGCTGGTGGCCCGGGCCCTGGAGCTGCTGGAGGAGCAGCAGTTCTGGGCAGCTGTGGTCTTCCAGCCCCCCACCAATGCCACAGCCCCCGCGCTGCCCCCCCATGTCCGCTACAAGATCCGCATGGACATCGACGATGTCACGAGGACCAACAAGATCAAGGACAGGTCGGGGGACGCCCACCCCTTCGGTCTCCACGACCCCCAAGCATCCTGCGCCCGTGGCGGGGGGAGCCCCCCTCCCAGCACCGTGCTCTGCCCCCAGGTTTTGGGACCCAGGCCCTGCGGCCGACCCCTTCAGCGACCTGCGCTACGTGTGGGGGGGGTTCATCTACGTGCAGGACCTGGTGGAGCAGGCGGTGGTGCGGGTGCAGACCGGGGCTGCCCCACAGACGGGGGTCTACGTCCAGCAAATGCCCTACCCCTGCTACGTGGATGATGTGTGAGTGGGTGGTGGGGGGCAGCCCCGGACCCTCAAGTGACCCACTGCTGTGGGGAACGGGGCCGAGCACCCTGCAGCATCAGTGCCCTGAGGAGGTGGCATGGGGCTGGTCCATGCCCCAGGTGTCCCCTGCCTGGCAGTGGCCCCGGGGTGTCAGGCTGGAGGTGGAAGGGCTGGTGCCATCTCCCCCAGGTTTCTGCGGGTCCTGAACCGCTCGCTGCCCCTCTTCATGACGCTGGCCTGGATCTACTCGGTGGCCATGATCATCAAGGGGGTGGTGCACGAGAAGGAGACGCGTCTCAAGGAGACCATGAAGACTATGGGGCTGAGCAACGGGATCCTCTGGCTCAGCTGGTTCCTCAGCAGCTTCATCCCCTTCCTCCTCAGCTCTGCCCTCCTTGTTCTCATCCTCAAGGCAGGTTGCAGGGCAGAGGGGACAGCGTGGGTGACACAGGGAGTGTCGGGGCTGGGAGCCAGCATGGGGGGCTCCACAGGCTCCAACCTGCCTCCATCTGCAGCTGGGAAACATCCTGCCCTACAGTGACCCGGCTGTCATCTTCCTCTTCCTCGGCACCTTCTCGGTGGCCACCATCAGCCAGTGCTTCCTCATCAGCACCTTCTTTCCCCGCGCTAACCTGGCCTCGGCTTGCGGTGGCATCATCTATTTCTCCCTCTACCTGCCCTATGTGCTGTGCGTCGCCTGGCGCGACCACATCACCTTCCCGCTCCGCGTCCTTGTGGTGAGCGGCCGTGGCAGCCCCCTCTCCGACATCCCTTGGGTGCCCCAGGCATGCCGGGGGGGGGCTTTGGGGATGAACCCCCCTGGGCTGGTCTTCTGCCCACACCGCTGTTCTTGCCACTGCCAGAGCCTGCTGTCACCGGTGGCCTTTGGCTTCGGCTGCGAGTACTTCTCCCTTTATGAGGAGCAGGGGGTGGGCATCCAGTGGCACAACCTGGGCACCAGCCCTGTGCCGGGAGACCCCTACAACTTCGCCACGGCCATGGGGTTGCTGCTGCTGGATGCTGGCCTCTACGGCCTGGCCACCTGGTACCTCGAGGGCGTCTTCCCAGGTGAGCATGGCCCCCCTGGCCCTCGGCAGCCCCTCCAGTCCCTTGGCAGCCCCCCGGCCCCACTCAGCCCCTTGCCTGCTGCAGGTCAGTATGGGATCCCCAAGCCCTGGAATTTCCCCTTCCTGAAGAGCTACTGGCTTGGAGAGCCATCCTCGGCTGGGCACCCCCCGTACCCCACCAGCCCCTTCGCTGCACCCCAAGGTGAGCCCCTGCCCCTGCCCACCCCAGAGCTGCATGGCTGAAGGGCGGCAGCCACAGAACTGGGCTCGAGCCCTTCCTCCTGGGCTTTGCCCTCCCAGCGGGCTGTCCTGCCCCATGGCAGGGGGTCCTGCCCCCTGTGACAAAGGGTCCTGCCCCCGGCGAGCGGTCCTGCCTGGGACATGACCCTCCGGTGGCTTCCAGTGCTGGTGGAGGAGCCGCCTGCCCAGCTCCAGCCTGGCGTCTCCATCCGCAACCTGGTGAAGATTTACCGCAACAGCAGCCGCGTGGCCGTCAATGGGCTGAGCCTGGACTTCTACGAGGGGCAAATCACCTCCTTCCTGGGCCACAACGGAGCCGGCAAGACCACCACCATGTGAGACTGGGGGTCTGACCAGGGGAGCTGAGCAGCCACGGTTGGGACAGGAGCTGAGCCTGGCTCTGCCCTGGTGCTGTCCCAACCTGAGTCCCCACGAGGCTGGGCTCTGAGCACCTCACACAGAACAGGTCACCCCGGCCCCGAGCCCCACTGGTCCTGTGCTCCCTGACCCATTTTCCCCACTGGTTCCCCCATCCAGGTCCATCCTGACCGGCCTCCTGCCCCCCACCTCCGGCACTGCCTATATCCTGGGCTGGGACATCCGCTCCGATATCGACAGCATCCGCAAAACCATGGGGATGTGTCCCCAGCACAACGTGCTCTTCGACATGTAGGCAGGGGCAGGGCAGGCGGGGGGGAGCAGTGCCGGGGGCTGGTGCAGGCAGGGCCCCCATCTCACCCCTGCCTGCCCCAGCCTGACAGTGGAGGAGCACGTCTGGTTCTACGGGCGGCTGAAGGGGCTGTCGGAGAAGCAGGTGAAGGCAGAGATGGAGCAGTTGATCCAGGACACGGGGCTGCCCCACAAGCGCCGGGAGCAGACCAGGAACCTCTCAGGTGCGTGCGGGGGGCAGGACCAGCACCCGAGCAGGGGTCCGCTGCCCCAGCCCCCCCTTCCAACGCTGTCCCTGCCGCCCCGCAGGCGGAATGCAGCGGAAGCTCTCGGTGGCCATCGCCTTCGTGGGCGGCTCCCGGGTGGTCATCCTGGACGAGCCCACGGCTGGCATCGACCCCTACTCCCGCCGCAGCATCTGGGAGCTGCTGCTCAAATACCGCAAAGGTCAGGGCTGGGGGGACCCCGCTTCGCCCTCTGTGCATCTGAGCCCCCCCAGCTGTGGAGAACTGGCAGCAGGGGCGAGCAGGGAGACGTGCCAAGTGGGGAGATGCCCAGAAAGGGGGAATCCAGCAAGGGGGTCTGGGGTCCAGCCTGCTCCCTGCCCCCAGGCCGCACCATCATCCTCTCCACCCACTACATGGACGAGGCGGAACTGCTGGGGGACCGCACCGCCATCATCTCGCAGGGGCGGCTCTGCTGCTGCGGGTCCCCGCTCTTCCTCAAGGCCAGGCTGGGCACCGGCTACCACCTCACCCTGGTGAAGCGGGAGCGGGTCGGAATGGGCGGCAGCACCGGCAATGTCCCCGGCACCACCAAAAAGGTGGGTCCCTTGGCCCTGCTGAGCATCAGCCAAAAGGGTGCCCGGTGCCTCCGTCCCAGGTATCTGGGGGTGCTGAGCCCAGGCTTGGGGTTGGATCCTGCTACAGGGTGCTAGGCTCTGGCTACCCTTTCCCACAGGACGGCAGTGACTCGGAGCACAGCAGCGACACGGGCCTGGGCAGTGAGCGGGGCAGTGAGGCCAGCACTGTGGGTGAGGGTCCCGTCCCTCCCTGTGTCCTCAGTGCAGCATTACGCTCCTGGGTGCTCCCCATGTAGCCCCCATCAGCCGGGGGTGGGGGGGCCGTGGGCATATTCAGCCCCATGCCCTGCCCTGCCACCGGCTCTTGGCCCCCCTGCACTGGTGGGGCAGAAGCGGCTCCCTGCCCTCCTGCCCCCTGCAAGCCCTCCCAGGGACCCCCAGACTGGGGTCCAGGGTGCTGTGCTGTCCACCGGCTCCTGCCCCAGGTTTCCAGCCCTCCCCGTCCCCCCCAGATGTGCCCCAGCTGTCGGCGCTGATCCAGAAGCTGGTGCCGGGCTCCCAGCTAGTGGAGGACATTGGGCACGAGGTGCTCTTCGTCCTGCCCTACAGTGGGGCCAAGGACGGGGCGTTCGGGGACCTCTTCCATGAGCTGGACACCCACCTGGGGGAACTGGGCATCTCCAGCTACGGCATCTCCGACACCACCCTGGAAGAGGTACCCAGAGGAGCTGTGGCCAGGGGGCTGCCTGTGGCTCCTGGGGTGCCCACCCTCCCTGGAGCTCTGCCGGGGGCTGCCCGTGACCTGGGGGATTTGCCTTGCCGGGATGGTGGGCACTGATGGCCGTGTTTAATGCCAGCCCCCTCCTGCCCTCAGATCTTTCTGAAGGTGGCTCAGGACACTGGGGTGGACTCTGACTCGGCAGGTAAAACACCTCAGGGCTGGCTGGAGCTCAGCTTCAGGGTGCTAGGGTGCAGGGGGGGTCTGAGGGGAGATGCTCAGCAGCCTGGAGCAGAGGGGTGCGGGTGTCCCCAGCACCCCATGTGGCCCTCACCCTTCCCAGGGCTGGGTTCCCTGCTGGGAGCACCCATGGGTGCAGGGAGGTATCACAGGCTGTGGCCTCGGTCCCACCCTGGTGCTCTCACCCCCGTTTTGTCAGGCACCAGGAGAGGAGCAGCCCCCGGCGAGGGAGGAGATGCAGAAGTGGCTGACGGGGAGCTGGGTAAGGAGGGGGGAGCTGAGACCTAGGACCCCCTGAGCTGGCCAGCCCCTGCTGCTGGGTGCCCCCCACCTCCACCCCGTGGGCTGGGGCTGGGGCCGTGGCATGTGTCCATCCAGGCACGTGTCCATCCAAGGAGGCATCCCTTCGGACACGCGTCCCTTTGGGCAGGTAGTGGGCAGGGGGAGGCTCAGGGATGCTCGTGCAGCATCGCTCCCGCCTGGCCTCGGTGTCAGGCAGGGCGAGGAGTGGGGACAGTGGCTGGTTTGGGGGAGCCTGGCTCTGGGCAGGGCTTGGGATGGGACATGAAATCCCAGGGAACGTACCCAGGCCCCTTCTCCTGGAGATAGAGCTGGTGTGGGGGCAGCTATGGCAGTGTGTGTGTGGGGGGGCTGTGATTGTTTGGGGACCTGGCTCTGCCCCGGGTCAGCGCTAACCCCGGCTGGGCAGACATCGGCATGGCTGTAACCCTTCTTTCCTCTCCTTTACACTGAGTCCAAGGACCCCGTCGAGGTAGGAGCTGGGGGCTGGGAGGGTCTGGGGGGCTCCCATTGCATCCCTGCATGCAGCACCCCATCCCCACCAGGGTGGGGGACACAACCCTGCCAGCACACCGTTCCCCCTGCACGTCTCCCGACATGAACCCCTGCCCCTCACCGCCGCCTGTGCCGGGGCCAGACCCAAACCCATCTCTGCCCCCGCAGCAGAGGAGCCCCGGGAGACGGACCTGCTGCGCGGGGCGGCCGGGCAGGCCAGCCGCAGGGTGAGGGGCTGGGCGCTGACCCGCCAGCAGCTCCGTGCCCTCTTCATCAAGAGGATGCTCCATGCGCGACGCAGCACCCGGGGCTTCTTCGCGCAGGTACAGCATGGGGGACAGGGATGGGACGGGGCCATGGTGCGGAGGGTGGGGAGGGGATGGGGCAGGAGGGTGGAGAGCCAGCCCTGATCCCCAGCCCCCGGCAGATCGTCCTGCCTGCTGTCTTCGTCTGCATCGCCCTGCTCTTCAGCCTCATCGTGCCACCCTTCGGGAAGTACCCACCGCTGCGCCTCCAGCCCTGGATGTACGGGCAGCAGTTCACCTTCTTCAGGTGTGTCCCCATCCCTCTGTCCCCCCATGTCCCCCACTGCTGCCAGCTCACTCCTGCATCTCCTGGCAGCAACGATGCCCCGGGCGACCCCGACACGGCTCGGCTCCTGGCCGCGCTCCTGGCCGAGCCGGGCTTCGGCACCAAGTGCATGAAGGATGCTGATGAGGCGTGAGTGCCTGCGACCCGCGGGGCTGGAGGGGCTGGGAGGGGGTGGCTGGGGCTCAGCCCCTGCCTCGGTGCCTGCATCTCCCCCAGGAACAGCCCTGCCAGCTGGTGTGATGCCATGGGACCCCCTCAACCATCCATGGCTGGGGGGGGGGGGGGGGGGCAGCCACAGGCAGGGGCAGGTCCCAATGCCTCTGGCTCACACCAGGCTGGTAACAGGGGTCTCTCTCCCCCACGGTGCCGGATGCCCAGGACGGCACCATGCCCACCGGCTTCCCACCCCGACGGCTTCTTGGTCCCCCCGGCTCCCCCAGCCCTGCTGGAAGCGTTGCGGCGCGGGAACTGGACGCGAGCCGAGCCGTCCCCCCGCTGCCAGTGCAGCGGACCAGGGGCTCAAAGGATGCTGCCTGACTGCCCCGAGGGGGCCGGGGGGCTCCCACCACCCCAGGTAACCCCCAGCCTGCAGCGGGGCCAGCAGCAGCGCTGTCTGGTACTGGTGCAGGCAATGCTCTGGGGAGGCGAATGCAGCCGTGTGTCTGTCCAGCCTGCCTGTCTGTCCCCCCAGGTGCAAAGGGGCACAGGTGACATCCTGCAGAACCTGACGGGCAGGAACATCTCTGACTACCTGGTGAAGACCTACCCCCAGATCATCCGCTGGGGGTGAGTGCTGGGGCTGGGGACACCCTGGGGACACTGCAGGGAAGATGGGGCAAGTCTTTGGCACAGGCTGCCAGTGTGGTGGAAGTAGGGAGGGATGCTGCAGACCAAACCCAGCCAGGGCTGGGGACAGCGAGGGCACTGCAGGGTAAGGGGGAACTGCTGGGGGACTTGTGGCTGGGTGGGCAGGCGCTGCTGTAACATCTCCTGGGGGGTATTTCTCCCCCGCTCCCATTTCTTTCAGGCTGAGGAACAAGAAGTGGGTGAATGAGCAGAGGTGAGCCCGGGGAGGGGCTGGGGTCTCACGCAGATGGGGCAGGGGGGAGGCAGGAGCTCGCCTGCGGGCTTGGGCAGAGCCAGCACAATCTCCAGGCAGAGCCATCATCTGGGCAGCCTCAGCCCTTCGCTGTGTGCCCCTCACCGTGGTGTCTGGGCGGGTGGAGGGGGAGGGTTGCGTTTGGGCAGGGGTGGCAGTTGAAGATGGGTGGCAGGTTTGGAAGTGCCCGTCTCTCCCCGCAGGTACGGTGGCTTTTCTCTGGGTGCTGGCAGCTCCCAGGCCCTGCCGTCGGCAGCAGAGGTGGATGAGGCGGTGCTGGAGCTCCGGGCACTGTTCAACATCACCCCGGTATGGCCGGGGCTCTGCCCCCCCCGGCTTGGCTCTAGCATCCCGGTGCTGGGAGGGCTCTGGCCCAAGCCCGCTCCTCACCCCGTGTTCCCACACCCAGGGCAGCCCCTCAGACCGGCTCCTGGGCAACCTCAGCCGCTTCATCGAGGGCTTGGACGCTCGCAGGAACATCAAGGTACGCCTGACCCAGGGGCTGGGGGTCCCACGGGGGTGAGAGCTGGGAGTCAGCAGGGGATGCAGCACCTGGGTCCCCATCCGGGGTTGGAGCAGCCAGAGAAGGACTGAGCCTGCCTGGGGCTGGAGGGGAGCGGGAGCCTGGCGGGGAGTGGGGTGCTGCGGGCACAGCCAGCGGCGGTGCCGGGGCAGGAGGGGGCTCTGAGCCGCCAAGCTCCTCTGGGCTGCAGGTCTGGTTCAACAACAAGGGCTGGCACGCCATGGTTTCCTTCGTCAATGTGGCCAGCAACGGGCTGCTGCGTGCTTGGCTGCCCGCTGGGACCGACCCCGCGCTCTACGGCATCACGGCCACCAACCACCCCCTCAACCTCACCAAGGAGCAGCTCTCGGAGGCTGCCCTGTGAGTATCAGGGACAGGGGTCCACAGGCCCCCCCCCCATCCCTGGCTGAGCTCTCCCCTCCCCGACAGGATGGCCACCTCAGTGGACGTGCTGGTGTCCATCTGCGTGATCTTCGCCATGTCCTTCGTCCCAGCCAGCTTCGTGCTCTTCCTCATTGAGGAGCGGGTCAGCAAGGCCAAGCATCTGCAGTTTGTCAGTGGGATGAAGCCTGTCACCTACTGGCTGGGCAACTTCACCTGGGACATGGTGCGGGACGGGGATGGGGATGGGGTACAGGTCCCGGGGAGCCAGGTCCCACTTGTGACCCCCTCCCCGGCTTTTCTGTGCCTGCAGTGCAACTACCTGGTCCCTGCACTGCTGGTCATCCTCATCTTCCTCTGCTTCCAGCAGGAGTCCTACGTGTCCTCTGCCAACCTGCCCTCCCTCGTGCTGCTGCTGCTGCTCTACGGGTGAAGGGCCGGTGGAGCCCAGCTGGGGCTCAGCCCCCCGCTGGGGCTGGACCCCAGGGAGGGGGGGTGCAGGGGGCTCAGAGCAGGCTCGGAGGGTCTTGGTAAAGGGAGGGGGGGGGTGCTGGCTTGCCCTGCTGTGCCCCCTGGAATGGGAGGTGCGCCTCGGCCAGCCTCTGCCTCTCTGCTCCCCAGCTGGTCCATCACCCCCCTGATGTACCCAGCCTCCTTCCTCTTCAGCATCCCCAGCACCGCCTACGTGGCCCTGACGTGCATCAACCTCTTCATTGGCATCAACGGCAGCGTGGCCACCTTCGTGCTGGAGCTCTTTGTGGACCAGGTGAGCCCCCAGGCTGCCCTGGACCCCCCTTCCATCCCTGCGGGACTGGTCCCAGCTCCCCTATCCTTCTCCTCACTGCCCCGACAGAACCTCAACAACATCAACCGCATCCTGAAGAAAGTTTTCCTCGTCTTCCCCCACTTCTGCCTGGGCCGAGGCCTCATTGACATGGTGAAGAACCAGGCAATGGCCGATGCCTTCGAGAGGTTCGGTGAGTCCAGGGGTATCAGGGCTGCTCCCCCTCCCCAAAGCCTGGCCAGCGCGGGGGCCCTCCCCAGTGTCCCCCCCTCCTACAGCCCCTCTTGCCACTTGCAGGGGACAGGCACTTCGTGTCCCCCTTGTCCTGGGATCTGGCAGGGAAGAACATGTTCGCCATGGCCGTTGAGGGTGTCATCTTCTTCCTCTTCACCATCCTTCTGCAATACCGCTTCTTCCTGCGGCTCGGGTGAGGACCGGCCGTGGGGCGGCCGTGGGGCAGCCGTGGGGTGGGCAGCTCTGGAAGTGCCCCTGCCGCTGTTGCCCCCAGGCCACGGGCTCTGCAGCTGCCCTCGCTGGGGGAGGAGGACGGGGATGTGGCCAGGGAGCGGGCGAGGGTGGGCAGCACCCCCCCGCACAGCCACCTCCTGCTGCTGAAGGACCTGACCAAGGTGCGTGCCGTGGGGCCGGACCCTGCCCCGTCCCTCGCTGCAGGGGCTCCAGCCTCTCCTGTAGCCCCCGGTCCCGCTGGTGGGTGACGGGTGGGGAGCACCCAGCGCTGGGCTCTGCCGCGCAGGTGTACCGGCGCAGGAAGGCTCCGGCGGTGGACCGGCTCTGCGTTGCCATCCCCCCTGGGGAGGTGAGTACCGGACAGACGGACAAATGGCACTGCGGGCAGGGACGGGGCTGCTGGTAACCCCGGTTTGCAACCCGCAGTGCTTCGGCCTCCTGGGTGTGAACGGTGCCGGGAAGACTTCCACCTTCAAGATGCTGACAGGGGACACGGAGGTGACGCTGGGGGAGGCCTGGCTGAAAGGGCACAGGTGGGCGAGACAGAGGGACACCGTGGCCGACCCACTGCTCCCCCTGTCCTTGTCCCCACAGCATGCATGCCGTCATCCCCATCCCCACCCTGTGCTCCTCCTCGCCCTCGTCCCTGCAGCGTGCTTGCACTCGGCTTCATCCTCATCCTCATCCCTGCACCGTGTTCATCCCTGTTCCCGTGGCATGCTCAGCCTTTTCTCTGTCCCTGGAGACTGCCCCTGTCCCCGCCGCATGCTCAGCTGTGTCCCCACTGCATGCTCAGTCATGTCCCTGACCCTGCCGTGTGCTCAGCCGTGTCCCCGTCCCCGCAGCGTGCTCACCGACCTGCAGTCCGTCCACCAGCACATGGGTTACTGCCCCCAGTTCGACGCCATCACAGACCTGCTGACGGGGCGGGAGCATCTGGAGTTTTACAGCCGCCTGCGTGGCATCCCAGAGGAGGAGACCCCCAGGGTAGGGCCCGCACCCCAGCCCCCCTCCCCAGCCCTGAGGGACCCCGTCCTCACCCCCTCCATGTCTCTTGCAGGTAGCTCAGTGGGGTATCACCAAGCTGGGGCTGGGGCCACACGCAGACCGGCCGGCGGGCAAGTACAGCGGGGGCAACAAGCGCAAGCTCTCCACAGCTATAGCGCTCCTCGGCTCCCCCCCAGTCATCTTCCTGGTGAGTGGGGACAGTGGGGGGGTCCCATGGCGGCACCTGCCCCCTGCCCGGGCTGACAGCACCGCCGGGGCCGTTGCAGGATGAGCCTACGACGGGGATGGACCCGCGAGCCCGGCGGTTCCTGTGGGACTGCATCCTCAGCGTCATCCGGGAAGGCAGGTCCGTGGTGCTCACGTCCCACAGGTGAGCCCCCCCGTCCCAGGGTCTGTGGCACTGCAGGAGGGGAGCACCTGTCTCTCCCTGTGGGGTCTCACACCTCCCCCCCGGCAGCATGGAGGAGTGCGAGGCGCTGTGCACCAGGATGGCCATCATGGTCAACGGCCGGTTCCGCTGCCTGGGCAGCGTCCAGCACCTCAAGAACAGGTAATGGGGCTGGGGACTCGGGGAGGGCTCTGGCAGTGAGGGGCGGCCGCCCTGTGGGGCCGGGGACACGGCTGGTCCCTGCAGCAATGTCCCCCTCTCCCGTGCAGGTTTGGGGATGGCTACACGGTGGTGGTGCGGGTGGGCGGCCCCGGTCCGGCACCGGTGGAGAGCCTGATGCAGCACCGCTTCCCCGGCATCGTGCTGAAGGAGCGACACGGGGGGCTGCTGCAGTACCAGCTGCCCTCCCACGCCGGCTCCCTGGCCAGTGTCTTCAGCGTTCTGGCAGCCCACCGTGGCCCCTGCCACATCGAGGACTACTCCGTGTCCCAGACCACCCTCGACCAGGTGACGAGTGACATGGGGCACGAGGGCATGGGGGCCAGGGTCCTGCCGGCACTGCCCCTCACCCTGCCCTCCCCATAGGTCTTCGTGCACTTTGCCAGGGAGCAGAGCGACGAGGACCCCGGAGGGGCTGCAGCCCCAGGGCAGGATGTGGCCCCAGTGGCACCCAGCCCTGGGAGGAGGCTGACACCATTCCTGGAGGATGACAGCTACCAGGAGAGTGCTGTCTGAGTGAGGTCATGCTGCCCCATGGACCCCCTCCCCAGCCATCACCGCAGCATGACCTGGGGTCCTGGGTCTTCTGGCCATCCCGGACCCCAAGAGCTGCACGGGGAGGGGGCCTGGCCACATCATGCCTACCAGCACAGGGCCACCATCCCTGTGGGACCGTCTGGGTGCTGGGGAGGGTCAAAGCGCCAGGGCAGGGCTGGCCCCAGCTCCCCCTTGGTGGGGTTGTACTCTCTGGGGGGGCTGAGGTTTTTTTGGGGGGGGTCTGCCCTGGGCCTCCCCCCTGCCCCAGGACAGGGCTGGGTGCTGGGGCTGGCCCTGGGACCCCAACTGCTCTCTGCCAGAGCAGAATCTGCTGTGAAAAAGCAATTAAATAAAGACCCGTGGTCCTTCCCCGGGGGCTTGGATCGCTCTCGCACCACTGCTGCCACACCTGGGGACACGGGGCAGGGGGCACAGCGGGACAGGTGGCAGCAGGATGGCCCTCGCACCGGGGGGGCACAGAGCAGCCAGCAGAGCCCTCTGCCCTGCAGCCCCTTCCCCATGGCTCCCCAAGCAGCCAAAGGTCAACCAGGGTCTTCCTCACCCTGGATGGTCCCTGGGCAGGGGCTGGGTGGGCAGCGGACTGGGCAGGGGTCCCTGCCGGCCACCCCCCCGGGGCTCATCCTCTCCACCTTCTCCCCCACTGGGGTGCCCCAGAGTGGGGCAGGGGTCTCGCCCTCTCAGCCGGGTGTCCCCTTGGGGCCTGCAGCACACAGGGGCCCTCGCAGGGCTGCGCTGAGCCCCCGGGGCCGGGGACCATGAAGCTTTTGGGGTACCCATCTCCTCCCTCACCCCTGAGACCCCTCTTCCACTGCAGGGGGTGCACAGACCTTCCCCACAGCGCTGGTGGGCTGCGCCTGGGGCTCCCCCTGACCCGGCACGGGGGTCTGGTACCCCCCGCACCTCGGCGGCCCGTGTCTCGGGGTACCCCCGGCACAGAGCGCGGATCCAAAAGGGTCCCCCCTCAGGCGGGGAGCGTTGCGATCGTCCGAAAAATATGGAACGCTTCACGAATTTGCGTGTCATCCTTGCGCAGGGGCCATGCTAATCTTCTCTGTATCGTTCCAATTTTAGTATATGTGCTGCCGAAGCGAGCACGAATGTTCTCATTCCCGCAGAGCTATTTGAACCTCTCACAATTGACAACTTTGAAGGCATGGTGAGGACTTTATTTTTAGACTCCTGCCTTTTCTTATGGCGTCACTCCCCCGAGAGATACCCGTCGCTCTCTACACTTCGAAATCCTCCGTTTTGTCAGAAATTTTGGCTTTTCCGTCGCTGAGCTGCCGTGCGGATCCGCCAGCTGCGCGCGGTGCATGGCGGGAGAGCGCCTACTTTGCATCGCGGGGCGGGGACTGGCCCTTGTCCTCCACCGTCCCAGAGTTCCCCGGTGGCGTTCGCGCAGGCGCGTTGCTGCCGTCCTCGGTGCCGGTGGAGGAAGATGGCGGCTGGGCGCTGAGAAGAGGGGACCGGGCCGCTCCGCACCGCACTGCGCCAGGAGAGCCGAGGCGCCCGCCGCGCTCCGGGCCGCGCCGCGCCGCGCCGGTGACGGAACTCCCCACATGGCCTCGGGGCCGGCCCAGGAGCCGCGTCCCCGCTGGGCCTGCTCGGGCCG